GGGACCCGGAGGGGCTGACCGAGGACAAGTTCAGCCGGGGAAACCCCGAGATCTTCTTTAACCGCGCAGCGCAACCCCAGTAAAACCCATGGAAGGCGGTCAACCCAGTTTCCATCTGTGAGAGAAGCACGGAACGCGGCCTTAAGCGACCGGTGGGAACGTTCGCGCATCCCGTTGGCCTGCGGGTGGTACGCAGTGGTTCGGTGGACCTTGACCCCCCAGGCCGTCAGCCATGGCAGACCAGAGCTCGGAAACAAACTGGGGGCCCCTGTCTGCGGTGATGTCGGCAGGGGGACCGAAACGCGAAACCCACATTGACAAAAATACCCTGGCCACTGCTGCTGCTGTAGTGGACGCCAGAGGCACTGCCTCGGGCCAGCGGGTTGTGCGGTCCACTACAGTCAAAAGGTGCGTGAAACCTTGTGACTGCGCAGAGGACCAACCAGATCCACATGCACATGATCAAAACGCCTCCCTGGAAAGCGGAAGGATTCGAGGGGCGCCTGTGTGTGCCTATGGATCTTAGCACGTTGGCATGGGATGCACGCGGCTGCCCAGTCTTTCACCGATTTACGAAGGCCCGGCCAAACGAACCTAGAGCTGACCAGCTTGACCGAGGCCCAGACGCCTGGATGAGAGAGGGCGTGTACGGAGTCGAAAACGCAACGACGCCACGAAAGGGGAACTACAGGCCGTGGACGGCTGGTGGAAACATCACAAAGCAGGCTAGGCCCACCGTTCCGCACGGGTCTGTCCTCCAGTACAAGGCCCATTTGCGCAGACCGAAGGGCAAGGACGTCCGGGTCGGCCTGTTGGTCAGCGGCCATAGCCTCAAAGTCTATGCCCACATAAACGGGAGAAACCAGCACGCGGGATAGACAGTCAGCCACGCAGTTGGACTTACTTACCACGTGCTGAATGTCAGTTGTGAACTCGGAAATGGCTGCCAACTGGCGCTGCTGGCGCCCGCTCCACGGATCAGAGACCTTGGACATCGCGAATGTCAAGGGTTTATGATCGACGTACGCGGTGAAGCTCCGACCCTCGAGAAAAAAATGAAAATGCCGCGTCGCGAGGTGCAGGGCCAGCAACTCCCTGTCAAAAACGCTATATTTGCGCTCACTGTCCCTAAGCGTGCGACTAAAAAAAGCGAGCGGTTGCCAGACACCGGAGACCCGCTGTTCTAACACTGCGCCCCGATGGAAATGGGTGGGCCAGCAGGGTGGCGTTTGCCAGCGTGGTCTTGGCCCCAGAAAATGCCTGGATGCGTTCAGGGAGCCAATCAATCGGGTCCTTAGCTGTTTTACCCTTCAAGGCAGCATAGAGAGGCTGCAGCAGGTGCGCAGCTCTGGGGAGAAAGCGGTTGTAGAAATTGACCATCCCCAAGAACTCCTGCAGCGCTTTAACGGACGTGGGACGCGGAAAAGCCGAAACAGCCCGGACCTTGTCTGGCAACAGAACCACACTGTCAGCGGAAATGCGGTGGCCCAAGAAATCCAGAACCGGCAAGCTGAACTGGCACTTGGAGGGGTTGACGATTAATGTTCAACCTTGTGCTTTGTTACCGTGTTCGAGAAATTAGGAACAGTCAGTGAAGGGAACTCCAAGAGCAAACGCTGAAAAACATTCCCTGAAGTCACTAAATTAGCCCGATTCAGGGGCTCGATGGCGCGAGTGAAACAGGGTATTGAAGAAAAAGACAGGGCATCGATTAAGCGTCTGTTAGCGACATCGACCAGCAGTCCGTGGGCACAAAGAAAATCGGCGCCCAAAATAGGTACAGAGCTAGCGGCAACAACAAAGGTCCATTGGAAATCCCGACCATGAAAACAAACAGTCACGAACCTTTCCCCGAACATTGCGATGGGAGAGCCATTAGCCGCAATAAGCTGCAGTCCGCAGCCCGCTGCTAAACTGTCGGCTCCAGACAGGGGAAGGAGGCTCTTCTGGGAGCCGGAGTCGACCAGCAAACATCTCCCAGAGCACGAGTCTTCTATGAAGAGCAGTTTTTCTTTGTCGCCAGCGGTCGCGGCCGCTACAGCGCGCTGGTGGGGCCCGCGTCCCAGGCACAAGGCAACAGGCAGCGGCGCACTCCGGCGCCAAAACGCTGATGGTAGAAACAGAGGTCCCGTCCGTGGTGTCGCTGTGCCGCGATCTTTGCCATCAGCGAAGGATCGGATACGTTGGGGCAGGTCAGCAGGGAAGTGGAAGGCGCTGCCAGCGAGGCTGAAACTAGGTCGTGATCGTGGAAAGTGCGGGTAGCCAGGAGAATACAATCCGCGTCCTCAGCCAGGGAGCGATAATCCTTCGTGCCCAGAAGCGGAGAGTTGGCGAGGCCGGCTCTCACGGCCGCCGGCAGCTGTCGGAGGAAGATGTGGGTGAAGAGGAATCCCCCGTCGACCGGTCCGAGAAAGGATAGCATGTGCTCCATCAGTTCGAGAGCCGTACCGCCACCCAGGCCTGAGAGGGAGAGGAGCTTCTCGGCTCGCTCTGCGTCGGAGAGGGCATAGCGCCGAAGAAGCAGCTCCTTAAGGGCGGCGTACTTCCCTCAGGTGGGTGGGTCCCGGAAGAGAGCCAACGCACAACGGGTGGCTAGTGGGTCGAGAGAGGCCACCACATGGTGATATTTCGTGTCGTCAGCCGAGATGCCACGAAGGGCGAACTGAGCCTCCACGTGCACGAACCACGACGGGGGATCGTGAAGCCAAAAGTCCGGCAGCTCGAGCGCCACAGCAAACGCAGCTGCAGCCGGAGGCAGAGGGCTGGCGGCTGCTGATGCATCCAGAGCGGAGTTGGTGCCACCATCGGACTGCAGCATGTTCGAGTCAGGGGTCACCAATGTGGAGGTAAACACAGACGAACACGAGAGCTCTTGATTAACACTGCTCGTTTATTACTCATCACCACACAACTGAATACTTTTCCCTCCAAAACACAGCAAAAACACTTCCTGAGAACTGGGTGTGAGTGGAGCCCTCCAGTGGTCCACCACAATTGTTTATTTTATTCTATTTTCACTTGCTACACATGGGACAGGGGAAAGAAAAGGGAGAAAGAAAGAGAGGTAGGGAAAGAAAAACGGCAGGGAAGAGGAACGGTGATAAAGGGCAAAAAAACAAAAACCAACAAAACAAACAGACAAAAAAATACATATATCAATCACCTGGATCACCTGTTGAGAAAGAAAAAAGAGAAAACAAGCAAAAAAAAGAGAGCAATATAATAAACAACATCATCACGATAATCTGTGTATATAACAGTAAATACTAAATATTGAATATTATTGTAGGATCGACAGCGCACAATGTGCTTTTGCTCACAATAAGTCTGTGGATACAAGGTTCACCAGGAAGACACAAAGGATAATAGTTTGCTGTTTTTGGACTGCGCCGTGTGCATTGAAGAGAATAGAAACCTCAACATTGAAATTTACCTGAAGCTTACCTGAAGCCCACACTATGACTCCCACCACCATCTGGGACACAAACTGGAAAACAAAGACAAAGTTTGAAAGAGCAGTGAAAGAAGCTATCTATGTCCACTGTGATCATTTATTATATAGTCAGGTAGACAGTGTTGTGACCACTGATCAGAGCAGTCCCGTCAAATTTTGTGTTTAAGGCTTTAGAGCATGGTGTTAGCATGGTGTCATACATTGACTCAGTAAGACATCTTCCTCCATGCGGCTAGTCAGCTTTAGCTGCTTAGTTGTTTTCCCTTTTCCCTGCTTAAAATAAAGAGCAGTAGTTTGTTGTGTTTCAGCAGTAGTAACAGCAGTAGAAGATGAAACTGAACAGTGCAAAGCAGCTACCATAGACCAGTCCACACCTTTCTGACCTGGAAACATTCTGACTACTCATTCTATCTCCCCTCTTTCCTCCCCTTTCTCTTCCCTCCGTCTCCCCTTCTATGTCAACTCTGCATCCCCGCTGTCTCCCCTCGGCTCCTCAGTGTTGGTCAGGAGGTGCAGAGGGTCAGTGTCATCAGTAACCTCCCGAGTCTCGTTCGACAGAATCCAGCTGAAACATTTCGTAGAGTGGTACCAAAAGTTCGGGTAAGTTACCTCAGTCACACTGTACTTCAAGGACATCAGAGTATGGCCACAAAATGACAGGTGCAATGTACAGGTGTGTCTTACAGGTAACCTGTCCTGTCTGTGTGACCCAGGAGGTTTTGAACGGAGCTGGAGCTGAAATCCAGCTGGCTGCAGCGGCGTCATTTTTAACCATCCTTCAAGATGACATCATACTGATCCACACCCACACTTACTCCATCCTAAAGATTGTCTTGTTGCACCTGAACCACAGAGACACAGGTAAAAACCTGAACTTCAGACGTGACAACAAGAAAAAAAGAAACCCTGGTTTGCTGGGCTCCTTTCATTGATAATAGTTTCAAATGTGTCCAGGTCCTTTCTCCCTGTAGAGATCTGTAGGTCCTGATGAGAAGGTGTGTGGTTGCGATTTTTGTGTAAGTGCTATAATTGTGGTGTTATTCTTTGATGGACTTTTCCAGTCTACGGTGTACGTATGACAGCTGGGAAAGGCTCTAACCTCATACCCCAAAGACAATATTCAATAAAAGCAACTTTTGCTTGCTCCAGATTTTAAGAATATTCCATGGCTTATAAATGATGACATCATTTTTACACTGCCAACATACAGGTATAAAACATCTGTATATCTGACATTCTGACATCAAAGTTGCCTTGTTTGTTACTGATTTTGCCATCTTCATTGACAGTGGTGAGCAACGCCTGGCTGGAAACTCTGCTATTATCTATCAACGCTCTGCCCAAAGAAACCATCAAACAAGAGGTCAGTTAATGCTGGCTAATCAGTTAATCCAAAATGCTGCAGTAAGAGTACTGACAAGGACTAAAAAGAGAGAGCATATTTCTCCTATTTTGGCTTCCCTTCATTAGCTCCCTGTTAAATTCAGAAATTAAAATCCTGCTCCTCACATACAATGTCTTAAACAATCAGGCCCCATCTTATCTTAATGACTTTATAGTACCATATTACCCCATTAGAGCACTTCGCTCTCGCACTGCAGGCTTACTTGTTGTTCATAGAATATTTAAAAATAGAATAGGAGGGAGACAGACACTATCTCTACTTTTAAGATTAGGCTTAATTGCAAAAGAATTGACTTGAACTGATTATTTACCAGATTTATATGGTCAATGAAATGCATGTCTCCACAGGTGCTGAACCCCCTACTACATCAGTCTCAGCTGTCTCACGCTCCTCAGGCTCGGCTGGCCAGCTGTCGCATTTTAGGAAAAGTTGCCTGCAAATTTGATTCCTACATGTGAGCTGCAGCATGTAGTACTCTGTAGTATTATAATACAACGAGTTCTCTCATTTGGTCTAATACTAACTCTGTTTCTGTGCATCAGCGTAAAGAAGGAGCTGCTGCCTTTGGCTCGTTCTTTATGTCAGGACCCGGAATTTGAAGTCCGAGCTTGTATGTGCCGTCAGCTGGAGAGCATTGCGAGAGCCACTGGGTAATTGCAAGCAAATATTGAATAA